TGCATTCCAGGATATTCATTGTGTAGCCAGAAATAAATATCCTTCCTTTCCTTGTTCTGATTATCTACAAATGTTTTTGATTCTCATCTATCACGAAAACAGCTGATTGCTTTGTACAGTAATATTGTCGATTGATCATTATTGTATTAAATGATACTTCTGGAACTTCTGGAAAGTAAATTAAAATGTAAATAATTTAGTGCTTATTAACATTGACATACTGAAGAAAGGACTGCTACATCTTAGTGTGATTTTATATTGCAAATACTTTGCAAAATAAGTTATTGACATTTCTAGTGAAGAAATAACTTTAATTTATAAATTCCAAGGTGGAGTTTATACAGACCTTTTGAGTTTATTGTGTGTTTGACTATTCTATTCCAAAATGAGATTTTTATCTTTTGTCAAGCAAAGTCAACTTATTGAACAAAGACTTAGTAGTATTGACAAGCAAGTTACAACATTAAGTACTGTTCAAGCCCTTGAATCTTTAAATGATCAACAAATAAATAGAATAAAGTTACTTTCAACTGCAGCTTCTCAAAAACATGCAGAATTTGAAAAAATTGTTAATAAGTTGTTCTCTACAACTCCCCTACCTGAAGACATCGTAGATGAAAAGGTAACCGAACTTCAAGATAAAATATCTGACCTGTACATAAATATTAGTAGCTTATGTAGCACATTAATACCTACACCTGCAGTATCTGAGCAATTGAATCAGTCCACCGCTAGTTCAACAGCACAAGCTGTGGCTGTACCTCCGACAATAAAATTGCCTTCATTGGATTTAGGTAAATTCTCTGGTCAACCAGACCAGTGGATGTCGTTTCATAGCATATTTGAAAATGCAGTTCATACTAATGAGTCACTCAGTAACATAGAAAAATTTACATATTTGCTATCCTGTCTCTCAGATGGATGAGCCATTGAGTTTGGTGAAATCTTTGCCTCTTAACGCTGCGAACTATGCCATAGCATGGCAATCTCTGATAGATAGATACCACAATACAAGGCTGCTAATCACTCTTCATACTAACAATATCTTAGATTTGCCTCAACTTACTAGGCCTACTGTCAAACAATTGCGGAAATTTCTCTCAGTTTACAATGAAAACTACCAGGCCTTAAAAACTCTTGGTCATGATATTGCTAATGAAAGTTTGCTTTTGACAACGCATATTTTGCGTAAATTTGATTCTGCTCTCCGCACTAAGTTTGAGCACTCACGTAATGACTCAAAAAAGGTCCCTACTATCAATGAATTAATTCATTTCTTGGAAAATAAATGTACACAAGAGGAGGCTGCGGAGTTAGCTTCTGTTTCGAACAAAACATTTTCACCAAATGAAAATAAGAGCAACCACCCAATCAAATCTAATTTTGCGAATAAGGCTAAAACTAATAGGGCTAATGTTGTATTGTTGTCGTCTAATGACAAAGATCGAATGCTTAAATGTATTTATTGCTCCGCTACTACTCACGTAGTATTCAAATGTCCTAAATTTGGGGGCATTAATACTAAAGACAGGTTTGACTTCATTAAGAGTAAAGACTTATGTGTAAACTGTTTTGGTATGCACAAACCTAAAATGTGTAAATCTAAACAGACTTGTCTTACTTGCTCAAAACGACATCATACTCTCCTGCATTTTGACCAGGCTCAAACAAGATTGAATGAAGCAAACACTGATCCCTGTACAAGTAATGTTAAGTCCCCTGATCATGTCAATCAATCGAATACTCTTATGGGTTTGGCTCGTACTCAGAATAATACTGTATTGCTTGCAACCGCTTTAGTGAAAGTTTCTACTCACAAAGGAAACGGTCTCGTTTTACGTGCTGTTTTAGATAGCGCCTCACAAACCACACTTATTTCAGAAAGTTGTGCAAATATATTAAATGTAAAACGCTCTGCTGTTGGTGTCCCTGATATCAAAGGAATTTCTGTGGCTAACATAAAGCCTAAAGGTTTCACACATCTGAATATCTCCTCCCTCAGTGGGTCAAATTTGGCCTCTTCTCATCCTGTTCTTATTCTTGATCAGATTACAAGTAACCTGCCTCGAGTTCAACTCTCACCCTTCATCAAAGCTCAACTGAAAAAATACATGCTAGCCGATCCAACCTTTGACTTGCCAGGTCCCATTGATTTATTGATAGGAGCGGATCTATTCCCTCAAACTTTACTTGAGCCGCCTGTAAGTATGGGAGAAAATTTACCCTTCATTATGAGAACAATTTTTGGCTTTGTTGTGCTTGGTGCCGCACCTATTGCTCCCTCCAATCAACCGCTTCAATTTAGTGGAATATCCACTCTTCTCTCAACTAACGACTTAGATCTTCATGCTACTCTTCAACGATTCTGGTCAATTGAAGAACCGCCTCAAACTTTGAAAATTTCGCCAACTGATGCAGAGTGTGAAAAACATTTCCTAAACTCACACTCACGTGACAATACCGGTAGATATATCTGTCGTTTACCGTTTAAGGAATCCCCTCAGAAATTGGGTCTTTCAGCACCTGTAGCTAAACGTATGTTTAATTCACTTGAAAATAAATTTGCTGCTCAACCAGACTTCAAGGTGAAATATGTTGAATTCATGCAAGATTATGAGGCTTCTGGTCATATGGAAATTTGTGAATCAATTCCGCCCTCAGACGAACCTCACTTCTTCCTACCTCATCATGGTGTTTTTAAAGGAGACAAGCTAAGAGTGGTTTTTAACAGTTCGGTCCGAACTTCTACTGGAATCTCGCTTAACAGCTTACAACACCAAGGGCCAAAACTGCATAACGATCCCACTGATATAATTTTTCGCTTTCGACAACATAAATATGTCTTCACATGTGACATAAAACAAATGTTTAGGCAGATATTAATTCATGAAGATGATAGAAAATTTCAATTGATTTACTGGAGAGAAGAGCCCTCTCATCCGATCAAAGTGTATCAGTTAACCACGGTTACATACGGCATGAGTTCAAGTCCATATTTAGCCAATCGTGTTATCCAACAGCTAATGGCCGATGAAGGTGATAACCATCCGCTAGCAGCCAAAGCTCTGCAAGATCAAATCTATGTTGATGACGCTTTGTTAGGTTGTGACACTTTAAATGAAGCCCTTGACTTACAGCAAGATGCTATCGATTTACTACTCAAAGGAGGATTTCAGCTACGAAAATGGTCTTCTAATAATGAAAAACTTCTTGAAAATGTTCCGCTGGATCATCGTGAAACTCCCCTCATGCTTCGAAGCACTGATCAACCTTGTCACAGTGTCCTTGGCTTAAAATGGATACCACAAACAGACAAATTTTCTTATGCTATACCCAAACCCTTAGGAGTACATACAAAGAGAGCACTTCTTTCTTTTATTGCTCAGATTTATGACCCCATGGGGCTAATTTGTCCGCTGGTTTTTTGGGCAAAGGCATTAATGCAGCACATTTGGTGTTTAGGGTTAGAATGGGATACTCAGCTTCCTGAGACACTTTCTGAGAAATGGTCTCAATTTATCAGTGAGCTCTCAGAAATTGACAATCTAAAAATACCTCGCTACCTTCCCATGGTAAACGCCAGTAATATACAATTACACGGCTTTTCAGACGCTAGTGAATCAGGCTATGCTTCATGTGTCTTTTTAAGGCTAGAAGATTCTGATCACAATGTTTCAACTCATTTGTTGATTGCAAAATCAAAGGTAGCTCCGCTTAAACGCACTACAATACCTAGGCTTGAACTATGCGGTGCTCATTTACTTGCCAAGTTGCTTCAATATTGCATCAATAAGTTTGATAAACAATACCATATTACAGCTATCAATGCGTGGTCAGATTCTATGATTGCTCTGTCATGGATCCACACCCCATCTTACAAGCTAAAACTATTTGTAGCAAATAGAGTAGCTCAGATACAAGAGCTTACTCCTTCATGCATATGGAGACACGTTTCCTCAGCAGAGAACCCTGCTGATTGCGCCTCTCGTGGCCTAACACCATCCGCTTTAATGAATCATGAGCTCTGGTGGTCAGGACCTAAGTGGCTTAAATGGGACTCAATTACATGGCCACAAACTAAACTTTCCCCAGATCCTGAAGAATCTCTTAATGAACTGAAATCAGAGACATTCAACCTCATAACATCAACCGATGACTCTAATCTACATTTTTTAAGTAAATATTCCTCATGGTCTAAACTTGTAAACGTTATGGCTTATGTTCTTCGTTTTATTAAATGTCTAAAGCTAAAGGCAAAAATAACCACTCATTTAACCAAACAGGAATTTGAAAGTGCAACAATTCGCATATGTTGGTGTGTGCAAAAGGAATGCTTTGCAAATGAGATCAAATCGCTTCAAGCTAAGAAAACATGTTCTACCCAAATACAACGGCTTGCACCTTTCTTAGATGAAGAAGGAATCATACGAGTTGGTGGAAGACTGAAAAATTCACCACTTAAGTACAGTGCAAAACATCCCATTTTGCTTCCCAAGAACCATTTTGTAGTCCACCTGCTGATTGATTTCTTTCATAAAATATACCTACATGCAGGACCGCAACTCCTTCAAGCAATGTTAATGCAAAACTACTGGATATTGTCTCAGAGAAGTGTTATACGCTCCAGAATATTTAAATGTATTCGATGTTTCAAAGCTAAGCCTAAAATGACAGCACCTTTAATGGGCGACTTACCTGCTGGACGTGTTACGGCTACTCGTTGTTTCAATGTTTCCGCTATGGATTATGCTGGACCTTTTACAGTAAAGGTTCACATCTTACGTCGACTGCAGCCAATTAAAATCTATCTCTGTTTATTTATATGCTTTGCCACAAAGGCTGTACATTTGGAGATGGTCACAGATCTTTCAGCAGATGCATTCATTGCTTCCTTAACTAGGTTTACTGCCAGACGAGGCACTATATCAGATTTATATTCAGATTGTGCCACCAATTTCATTGGAACAGCCTCAACGCTTAAAAAATGCTTCCAAGACCTAATGATAAAACCTGAAACACAACGGTTTGCCCAGAACAACAAAATAACTTTCCATTTCATACCACCTCGAGCTCCACACCAAGGAGGCTTGTGGGAGCGGGCAATAAAAAGTGCCAAATACCACTTGAAGAGAGTCATAGGTACACAAATCCTTACCTATGAAGAGTTTCTAACACTGATTGCTCGTGTTGAGTCAATGTTAAATTCAAGGCCTATTACACCACTCTCTGCAGACCCATCTGACCTTGAAGCATTAACTCCAGGACACTTCCTGACAGGAGGACCTCTGACGTCTCTAATAGAACCTCATCTCACGGATATCTCTGTAAATCGCCTGAAACGGTGGAAACTTGTGCACGCATTTGCTCAACACATATGGAATAGATGGCATAGAGAGTATCTGCAGACCCTCCAAGAACGATCTAAGTGGACTACTCCAGAAGAAAACCTCAAGATTGGAGACTTAGTAATCATTCATGAAGACAATACTCCACCTCTTGCTTGGATGCTTGGTCGAATCATCTCAGCCTCTCCTGGTCAAGATGGCACTGTAAGAGTCGTTCAAATCAAGACATTTACAAAAACCTTAACACGACCTGTAGTTAAGGTTTCCCGCCTTCCTATAAACTAACCTAACATAACTCTGGCTACCAACCCCCTTCCTTATTTTTATTCCTCATATTTCAATCATGCATGGTTCTTGTTTTTCTGTTGAACCGGATCGGTTCAAGGGGGCCGGTATGTCAAATATATATACTGTTTTGTTCTAAGTATTCTTATATTAATTTTTAATTTTAATGCACTCTAATAATATGTAACTGATTTCACCACAATCTCCATTTAAATACCATTTCAAATAGTTAAATGTTTTCCTCATAGAGTGCATCAGTATCTTCAAACCCCAATGGTTTCAAGACTAGCTCTCTGATTGGTCACTGATATGTATCACATGACCAACTCCTTCCTTCAGTAGAGTAGTGGCACACTCTTGGGCAAGTCCTGTTGCTATGAGGACTTAACATGCCTTTTCTCCTACATTTTCAAATACCATAAACCTCTTTACCAACATAAATATTTACCGCTGGCTTATAACTTATTATAAAGACAATTGAAGTGTTTTTTAACATCATATAGTGAGAAAAAGTGAACTTATCAACATTATAGCATTTCAGGATTCATCAAAGGGGGCCCCCAGTCTACGCATCAGTTTAATAACAAAAGGTTAGTGTATCCAATTCAAAATTACTATAATACAGTCCACATTGCTTTCAAATTAACATAAATTCCCCACAACAACAACACTAAGAAATTCATGTACTTAATATAACAACCCACGTTTATAGACAGGTTAATTCTAAACGAAAACAATTATATAATATTCATGAAAAAGAAAAGGGTCCAGTGCAAGAAACCTTTACCTGTAGGATTTTCAATACTAGATCTAAGTAAGAGATACATGTACCTCATGTATTACAATAACTTGAAAAAGTACTTCCCACCGTTCAATTTAATATACACAGACAACGATTCAATTGCAATACACGTATTCAGTACTGATTCTACTTCATTTAAAAAAGATCAACATTTCATTTCTAATACTCTCTTAGGTAAATTCGAAGATACATCTCCTAATAATCCCATTGTAGAATTTGTTACAGTAAGAAGTAAAACAATACGGGTACAGGACATTAAAAGATACCATACAACTAAAGAATTTACCCAAATCTTTTAATTTTACAAACTATAAAAACATACTACTATCTATTAAAATGTACTACACAACAGTGTAATTGATAATAAACTATACCAAGTAATACAGAATAAAGCAGTAATTAAAAAATACATACACACACACAAACACACACCCAAACACACACATACACGAACCAATACCTCAACATGAACCCATAACATTAACATGAACAATCACAGGAACCCCCACAATGACATCATCATGAACAATCACCCTCTCTCTCTCTCTCTCTTACAACGATTGATTTACAAAACTACGTTTGGACTAATTAACCAACGGACTGGGAATCTAAAAAGATCCGGCTTCTATAAAAAAAAACTGCCCTTTTAAGTACAAACATATTTTTTTCAGTTTTCTGTCCTCATTTTCAATTCTTTTTTGGAGGGTTCGGGAGACCAAACTTCTCTGCTCTCATTTGTAGCCGATCTTTATCCGGCTCGAAAAACCAAATGTTAAATGTTAGATTGAAAGTACTCATAAGAGTACCCTCGGGCCAAAAGTCTTCATTATACACATTATTCCAAGAAGTTTCTGGCACTCCCACTTTAAAGGAGCTGTAAGTCGGATACTTTTCTGTTGACTTTTCCACTACATAATTAACAACTTTTTGGGCCGATTAAAAATTTTTCTAGATCCTTTTGTTCTACATATGGCTCAAGTCTTGACAAAAAAATAAATTTTGTTCTTTTGATGGTATTTAGAGTGTTGATAGCCACTGACTTTCCAGTCAGTACTTTATGAGTAGATTTACTGAACTTTGTGTCTTTAGGTTTAACACTTTCCTTAGATGTGCCTAAATTTAGGTTAGGCTTACTTTGTGTATGATTCCTCTTGTAAAATACAGTTTTCCACGGTGTTTTATTCAACTTTACAGGATTAGTATCATTAAGAGCTGGAAAACTGTCCTTTTCAAAAAATTCCACTTCATCTTCACTATCTTCTTTACTTGGCAGTTTTTCACCTCCAGTTCAAAGTGTCCAAACAGAAGATATCGAATGGCTGTTTTCGGTTGCTACACTTTGATTTTACGGAAAGTAAATAAAAGAAACGTCTTATAACACTTAAAACATATATTTACGCTTATACTGTTACTCACAAGACGGTAAATATACAAAAACGATGGTAAGTGGTGATCGATTTCGATTGGACACTCCAATCATCATCAGACCCAATAGGCGAATGACAAGAATCTTGAATGGCGTCCCTACTTCAAGATTCTTGTCATTCGCCTATTGGGTCTGATGATGATTGGAGTGTCCAATCGAAATCGATCACCACTTACCATCGTTTTTGTATATTTACCGTCTTGTGAGTAACAGTATAAGCGTAAATATATGTTTTAAGTGTTATAAGACGTTTCTTTTATTTACTTTCCGTAAATTTAATAACACGTACAATGCTGATCAAGAAGTTATTTACACTTTGATTACCAATAGTCGAACTCGCACCAGGTTTGTCGATGATAGACCTCGAACCGGGTTTATCGTCTTGCTTCTTAGGCTTGCTGGTTACTCCTGAGGTCTTTGTTACGTTGGCAGTACTTGCAATACTGGACTTGTCAATTTCGTGTTTGCCGGCAGACGACAATAACATTTGACATAACCTCGCATTACTTTGAGATATTTCCTCAATACGAATATTTGTTGCTTTATTGTCCTTCACCATTGTTATAATTAAACTAACTAGATTTTCGACCACTGACTGTAAGTTTATGAGACCATCCAAGTTATCGGATTTTTCAACCATACTGTCAATCTTCACGCTGCACGAAGAGCAATACCACTTCACGTCATCAAATAATTCGTTTATAAGATCGTACCTTTCCTCCGAAACATTAACACAAGTTGGATGATACCATTTCTTGCACGGTCCTTTACAGTAGAGTTTCATACCTATTGGCATACATTCTTGAGAAACTTCCCCTTCTTATCGGTAGCAGTCCGTTTTCTGAAACAAAATAAAAGCGATGAATAGTATGAGAACAGTGTAATAAAACAACATTTATACAACTTATATGTACAACAATTTATATGTACAGGAAGTGCATAAAACTAAAAATCTCTCTGTTAACCATTATGTGGGTGTCTTGTCAATGACATTATAGGCCTACATTGGTTTACAGGAGAGAAGTAAGTGGTCATTTTGGTGGTATAACATGACCAGTTCTGGCTGCACTTATATGGATGAATAGCCAGTACAGTTACCCGGCTCCAGGTTACTTTGAAAAATTTGACAATGGTGATTATTAAGTAGTTAATTAATCAAACATTTTATATTAAATAGACCTTGGATTTTAACACAAAGTGGAGGTTAAATTTATTAGAAACCTAATGAAAGGTAAAGAGTTTTAGAAAGATAATTTATAGATAGGAAATAATTTTAGAGTTGAAAGAGAACGGAATAAAGTAATAACAACTCACCGAAGAAGCCTTGTGGGAAGAGGTGAGTTCTTATGTGGAACACTGGTATATCCGGGTAGGTCTTCAGTATCCAAAATTGCAATGTTAGAAGGCTCAAGGACAGGCCTGCGAACAAAATTTATAATAATGAACTACACTGTTAGGTTATAAGGTAATAATAAAAAGTTATATTGTGCATGAACACAAAAAATATATCGGTCAGTGTGAATTAAAAAAAGTAATAATGTGTAGAAGCATCATTATGTGGCTACAGCATTGAAAATGGATGTCAATTTGATGCATTAACATAATTTTTAGAATAAATGTATTTGAGTGTCTGAAACAAATTATAATAATCCATCATTATCTGAAATATATTTGTTAGTCGTTATAAAATAAAACAGGTTCAGCATATATTAATATGTGCAATATAATACGCGGAAGACAAATTAAATTAAATTTGCTTTATTATTATTTTTTATTAGATATGATATGATGGTTATTATAATAAAAATAACTTTAACCAATATGAACGGCCACCGGCTGTTTGCTACAGCCAGTGGCTATAACCTATATGCACGGTTGGCACCGTTTGAATATTTATAAATTATTTCCTCTTTTAATATACTAAACATTCATTATAAAGTAGAAAGCAAATGATAAATTTAATAATTAGTTATCTAAACAATCGATAATAGATAATAATTTTTCGTATAAAAATTTTGGGAATAAAAAAAACATAGTAAATTGGAGGCAATTATATATATATTATAGGTCGTTGTTTTTTTTAAAGGGTTAGGTTTGGTTGGGATATATATAAAAGTTGTTTATAATGAACTGTTATTTGAAGGGCTTAAGTAGAACTTGTTTGTCTTGTGTTTGTTACTGCTGATGTAACCATGGTGGAACTTATGTCAGCTATGTAAGTTACATGTTAGTTAAATGTGTGTGAAAGTTATTAAAATATTGTATTATTTTTGCATTATTTGTTGCTGTCCGAGATAAATTTTTACAAATGTTGTGGCATACTGTACCTGACAGTCCTTACGATTTCGGATGCGAAGGCCTTGACCTCAAACACCACCTCACGTGGCGGGGGCCTGCCAGCAGTCACAGGAACACGGCCAATGAGTAGGAGTAGGGTTGAAAACCTGTCTATCAGGCGAGTCCGCTGGTGAACAGGGAGTCCAAGGGACTGATAGGCATTGGCCCTTGCTGACGCAGAGAAGTCTATGTAAGACTCCAGCCAGTTGTTGTCCAAGGTTGTGGAAGATTCAGTTTGGTTGAAGGTGGGGTGTTCTAACGTTTCGCGGGTTTGTATCCTGATGCGGGAATTACTGGGATACATTGTGGTTACAACCATTGTTTGGCCTTGATCTTGGGGGGGGGAGAGGGCCTATCCTAGGGTAATTGAAAAAAATCAACCAGGGAACAAGCAATGTGATGGGTACCCTCATGTTGTGGGTCCGTAGGGGTCTGACCACGATGTGTGGTAATATGTCTTCATACGGTTGTTCTAATGGATTTCCATTAGAGAACTGCAAGAACCCTACTTCATTTCCGGTCCTTTGATAAGGATGAATGATGGTCTCTTCACTGTTGCCCCGTATGCCAAGATGAGAAAGCATTTGGTGGCTGTATGCATGGGGGATGAATTTAAAAAATATGGAACTAAATCTCTCTCAAGGCTCATGCCATACTGCCAAACGTAGTTTAAAATGAAGTGAACATATTGGGTATTGTAGAGGGTCCTTGGAAATGGTTGGCCATACACATCAACGCAAAGTTGGGGGTGCGTCATTACAAATATGGTCATGAGGACAAGGCCCTCTCGGTTGGCCAACTTGGGTACAGCTGTCAACAGCCTGTCCCTCCACTTCTTCCGCACGGCATCACGGAAGGGGCATTCCTTATTTGTGCAGCGTGGCAGGACACGCTTTGATTGGGGGTTGTAAACACAACGACATAGGTTGGGGTCGGACGGTCAACAAGCCATTGCAAGGGCTCCTCCCATGAGCCGGTTGCTACGGACACTGTTAATGCTGTGCCCAACATGGGAATATTGGGTCCAGTTTACAGAATCTCCATCATCATCCTTTCTGACTTTTAGTATTCTCATGTCTTGGGAATACTTTTTAAAATCTAAGAAGTCCTGGCCTGTTAAATCAATTACAGTGTAAGGTTGTTTCCTTCCGGCCAAAGCGAAGATTGATGTTAATTGACTAGGTACAAAAATATTGCCAGCCACTTCTACAGCTCGACCTATAGTGCTATGAGCTGCATCCCCTTCACTTTGGCCGTGATAGGGCTCAAAGAATCTTAAACTAATGTCAGTTATGTTGGTGCAGTTTTTGACACAGTACAACATCATTGCTGGCAAAATTGAAATTTTATTCTGTCCGGCACAACCGTCAGAGATAAAATTAATTGTCTTTGCTCCTTGTTGGTCACAAAATGAAGCATATAGAAATACACAGGTTGCAATCTCCGAAGACCCTCTCTTGCTTGACACTTCATCCCACTTAAAACAATAGCAATCCTTTAGCAATCCTTTGATGCCACATCATAAACAGTAAAATTAAATACAGTGAATCGTCTTTTGTAAAATACTGCACTCTCTTTTGTTATCGGTAAGTTCATCACTTGTTGCAAATCAAATACAGCAGTTACACAAGTTTTGTCTTTTAGTGAGTTTTCCTTACATTCATTTTTTATTAGTCTTATTTTCTCCTTTTCTGATGTTTGTAATTTATACTTATCTTGAAGCTTGTGTTTAACTTCTTCATTACCCTCAT